GCATTTAGAATGATTACGCAATGATTAGGCTTATAAAAGCAGTTTTCACACCAGCAGCAACTAACGAGCTGTTTGAGGACCTGTACCAGCAGCTCTCACACCGACAGATTTTCAGCTCAAATTAGGTATCAAAAATGTGTATCTTGTATGCTATGGGCTAAATGAGATGAATAATACAAATGCACATGCCAATTTCATTCCACAAAATTATGCAAATGTCCCTATAGCCCGATAAGCATGACCGTTCAAATGTATTTCCATCAATGAATAGGCTAAAAAGCATTATTATATAATGGATTTTTCTTCTTATTTATCGTTTTTTCATTATTTTATGGGGGCCAAAAGTCAGCTATTACCGGCTACCGGAAATACTGACACACACCCAGACAGCTATGAGAGGAAGTACGGTAACAGTTAGTTACAGTAACAGTTTACTTACAGTCAGCAGCAGTGAAGTTGGGCAGCGAGTCGTAACTCTTCTCTACGTTCATGATGTCCTGGAGGTGGAGAGAGATGAGAGAGGGAAGAGGGAAGAAAGGAAGGGGAAAAGGGGAGAAGGAGGAGGGGGATGGGGAAAAAAAGGGGGGGAAGAGGGAGGGAAAAAGGGGAAAAGGTAAAAAAGGGGAAAAGGAAAGGGGAAGGGGGGGAGGGGGGGGGGGTTGGGGGGGGGGGGAATAGGAAAAGAGGGAAAAAAATTTTTTTTTGGGGGGGGGGGGGTTTTTTTTTTTTTTTTTTTTTTTTTTTCCCCCCGGGCCCCCCCCCTTTTTTTTTTTTTTTAAAAACCCCCCTTTTTTTTTTTTTTTGCCCGGGGGGGTTTTTTTTTGGGGGGGGGGTTTTTTGGGGGAAAATTTGGGTTTTTTCCAAAAAAAAAAATTTTTTTTTCAAACCCCCCTTTTTGGGGGGGCGCGGGGGGGGGGGGTTTTTTTTTTGGGGGGGGAAACCCCGGGGGGGGGTTTTTTTAAAAGGGGGGGGAAAAAAAGGGGGGGGGCCCCAAAAAAAAAAAGGGGGGCCCCAAAAAGGGGGAAAAAAAGATGGGTTTTTTTTGGGGGGGGGGGGAAAAAAAAAAAAAAATTTTTTTTTTTTTTTTTAAAAGGGGGGTTTTTGGGGGGTTTTTTTTTAAAAAAAAAGGGGGGGGGGGGGGGGGTTTTTTTTTTTTTTTTCTTTTGGGGGGAAAAAAAAAGGAAAAAGGAAAAAAAAGGGGGGGGGGGGGGGGGGGGGGGGGGGGGGGAAATTTTTTAAAAAAAATTTTTTTTTTTGGGGGGGGTTTTTTTTTTTTTTTTTTGGGGGGGGGGGGGGTTTTTTTTTTTTTTTTTTTGGGGGGGGGGGGGGAAATTTTTTTTTTTTTTGGGGGGGCCCCTTTTGGGGGGGAAAAAAAAAAAAAAGGGGGGAAAAAACCAAAAAAAATGAAAAAATTTTTTTAAAAATTTTTGGGGGGGAAAGGGGGGGCCCCCCCTTTTTTCCCCCCGGGTGGGGGGCCCGGGGGGGGGGGGGAAAAAAAGGGTTTTTTCCCCCCCCCCCAAAAAAAAAAAATTTTGGGGAAAAGAAAAGGGGGGGGGAAAAAAAAAAAAAAAAAGGGGAAAAAAAAGGGGGGGGGGGAAAAATTTGAAAAAAAGGGAAGGGGAAAAAAAAAAAAAAGGGGGAAAAAAAAAAGGGGAAAACGGAAATTTTTAAAATTTAAATTTTTTTCCCCAAAGTTTATCAAAAATTGCCCAAAAAAATTTTTTTTACTTTTTCCGGGAGGGGGGGTTAGGGGGGGATTTAATCCTTCTTGGATAAAACTCTTTCTGCTATTGCTCGTAGCCTCTGGTGACGCCTTTTCGTCGCGCTGGTCTGCTGGCGGTCTGCCCCGCTTCAGCTAGCTCTCATTTTCCGCGTTAGCGTCCGTCGTTTCCTACGCCTCTCTCCCTGCTCTGGGCCCCTTCGCGTCCCCCTGCTTGGGTTTACTACTTTCACCTCTCTCACTTCTCCCTGCCTCTCTCCCTCTCTCCTTCCTCTTCTCCTTCCCTCGTCCTTTCGTCTCTCTAGTCCTCTTGATCGGGTCCTTGCGTCAGTTCTCTATTCTTTTCGTTCCCTTGCCTCTTCCTCGTTAGTTTCCCGTTCCTTCCGTCCCTCGCCGCTTCTTCCTTACTCTCGTCTACTTCTTCCTTTCCTGCATTTTGGGCGGCGACATGTGCCTTATGACAATTCGCTTTGCCTCTCGGCTGACCGTCGGTCTCGCCGCGCCCGTCTCCGTGCGTCCGTATGATTTCGTGTCCTCTTTCTCTTTCACTCGTCCCTTTACCATCGTCTTTTTTCTGTCTTCAGCTTCCCAATTACATAAAGAAAGCAATTACAACTAATTTCTATTACTTCCCTGAGCCTTGACGAATCACTGTCTCTGTCCCAAATAGCACCCAATTCCCTATTTAGTGCATTACTTTGACCAGAGCCCTACGGGGGAATAGGGTGCCATTTGGGACGTAGACACTGTTTCTGAAGATAAGAAGCAATGTGTTAATTTATCCTATTAAACACGTAACATTTATTCATTTACATGTCTAGTATTAAGATGTTGCCTCAGAATGTGCAGTGAAATGTTGCCTCAGAATGTAGAAAATAAAATTGGTTTCATTAAAGTTGTTCACCATCAAAAAACATAGTTAACGATATCACGATCATCTGAGTTGGAGTTTGGGCACTAGATGTAGGCCTAGTTATTAATTCCATTAATCTGTGCATTTGAAATAAAAAAGCTCAATAAGAAGGAGGAGCAGTATGTAGGATGTACTGGATAACAGTTTATAACCCCACACTGACTGGAGCTCAAAAGTAGTGCACTATGAAGGGAATAAGACATTTACATTTTAGTCATTTAGCAGACGCTCTTATCCAGAGCGACTTACAGGAGCAACTATGGTTAAGTGCCTTGCTTAAGGGCACATCGACAGATTGTTCACCTAGTCGGCTTGGGGATTAGAACCAGCGACCTTTCGGTTACTGGCACAACGCTCTTACCCACTAAGCTACCTGCCGACATGGTTATTTAATACAGAGGCTATTTATTTAACTGTTGCACAGTCACATTCCAAATGCTGGGGGGGTTCAGGACAAAGTCACATGTTAGGACAACTCAGGGGTTCAAAGTCTCCCACAGTTATGTTTGAGTCAAGGTGAACTGTGTGAGACTCCAGGACTAACACACAAAGAATAACAGAGCCTTATCAGCGGAACAGGAACAAGTCAGCCATTAAAACAGCTGGGGTCTGTTAACCCTGTAGAGTCTGAGAGGGGGGTTCTACTAAGCAAACATATGGAATTGTTTTAAGATGGTCATACCAAGGATCATTTAGCTATTTGATTTTGAATTGTAAGACCCCTTAAGGGTCTATTTGATGAAACATTGAATTTGGCATTACTGCTATTAGCCCATAGAAACAGATTCACCACATGGAACAACAGATAGTAAAAAAAAGAATCTAAAGGAAGTTCGTTCGGAAGCGTCTGTCCTATATCTGAGAGACATAAGAAAGATCAGGAAAAGTTGTATTTAACCCCTTATTTTAGGCACTAAACGTTCTCCATATATACTTTCATAACTGGTACCGGGGGTGAGGCCTGGGTGCGTCCTAGAGCAAAACAAGAGACTCACCTTTCCACAGAGGGGTCATATTAGAGCCCAAACAGACAGAAGTCGGCATAAGAGGCTGTACCGACTTCAGACGAGTCCCGTGACGCTGGTCTGGGTCGAAGAGCAAAACGGAGAACGCCATTGTGTTCGTGAGAGTTTCATCTCTCCACAGAGTGGTCTTAATAGTTTGTAGGCCAAACCGTTCGGACGCTTTAGACGTTTCCGTGAGAAGACCGATTTAGCTCTGCCACCTTTCACCGCGGAAATCCAAGTAGAAGTGTTAAGGTAGAAAATATGATGTAGAACAGAAATGATCCTCTATCCTCAAGAATAGGGATTCATTTGTAACTCTATACATTCCATTTCTATCTGCAAGGCTCTGAACCTGTCTCCCTACTGTGGTCTAAAGGCTTTACAGTGTTGAATTCATAGAAATAGAATGAAAATAACAGGCTTGGAACCTCTAACCCTGGCAATTTGACTGGTGAACTCATGGGTCCACTCGCAATCGCTGCCTTGGAATTGTGATGAAATCATTTCCATGGTAATGTAGAATGTTAATTCAAATGATGTTAACTGATGTGGCTCATGCAATGCAATGTATTTTTTTTGTAATGGCAGTTGAGTAGATTCAACAAATCACAGCACAGATTGATGGGTACACTTCCTGGTTTTACTTCCTGCTTTGCTCCTACGGGTACACTTGCAATGTCCGCCAGTCCACTCATAATAACGTCATCATTGACTTGAATTCTAGTTCTATGGTTGCTTGAACATCAGTTATCACTGTAAAGACTGGTATCAATATATGGCCTAAATGCACAGTGCATTATTTGAAGACGTTGGACAGTAGAAGGACATCTCCTAAATGGATTGGTTTGAGGCTGCAGTTCTGTCCCAAATGGCACCCTGTCCTCTCATACTACTTCTGGCCAGAGCCCTATGGACTAACATGGAATAGGGTGTCATTTGGGACGCTGCCTACTACAGTTCATATATTATATACACTGAGTGTACTAAACATTAAGAACCCCTTCCTGATATTGAGTCGCACCCCATTTTTGCCCTCAGAACAGCCTCAATTCGTCGGTGCATGGACTACTACTAGGTGTCAAAGCGTTCCACAGGGATGCTGGCCCATGTTGACTCCAGTGCTTCCCACAGTTGTGTCAAGTTGGCTGGATGTCACCTACACTGATTGAAGTGGATTTAACAAGTGACATCAATAAGGGATCATAGCTTTCACATGGATTCACCTGGTCAGTCTATGTCATGGAAAGAGCAGTTGTTCCTAATGTTTTGTAAACTCAGTGTATAGTAATAGTATATATTCTTACTGTACCTCCATGATGCTGATATAGTAGGAGAAGGGGGTGATGCGGAGGCCTTTGACCATGATGTCTGACAGGTGGTATGGATAGAGCATCAGGTGCTCTCGGCTGTACTTCAGCAGCTCCTCATAGTACTTCCTCTCATCCTTCCTGACGTGTCTCACTGGACAGATGGGGGGGAGAGGACAGATACACTCAGATCAGATAGGGACAGGGGGTATGAAGACAGGCACTGATCAGATAGGGACAGGGGGTATGAAGACAGACACTGTGATCAGATAGGGACAGGTGGTATGAAGACAGACACTGTGATCAGATAGGGACAGGGGGTATGAAGACAGGCACTGTGATCAGATAGGGACAGGGGGTATGAAGACAGACACTGTGATCAGATAGGGACAGGGGGTATGAAGACAGGCACTGTGATCAGATAGGGACAGGGGGTATGAAGACAGACACTGTGATTAGATAGGGACACGGGGTATGAAGACAGACACTGTGATCAGATAGGGACAGGGGGTATGAAGACAGGCACTGTGATCAGATAGGGACAGGGGGTATGAAGACAGGCACTATGATCAGATAGGGACAGGGGGTATGAAGACAGACACTGTGATCAGATAGGGACAGGGGGTATGAAGACAGGCACTGTGATCAGATAGGGACAGGGGGTATGAAGACAGACACTGTGATCAGATAGGGACAGGGGGTATGAAGACAGACACTGTGATCAGATAGGGACAGGGGGTATGAAGATAGACACTGTGATCAGATAGGGACAGGGGGTATGAAGACAGACACTGTGATCAGATAGGGACAGGGGGTATGAAGACAGACACTGTGATCAGATAGGGACAGGGGGTATGAAGACAGACACTATGATCAGATAGGGACACGGGGTATGAAGACAGACACTGTGATCAGATAGGGACAGGGGGTATGAAGACAGACACTATGATCAGATAGGGACAGAGGGTATGAAGACAGACACTATGATCAGATAGGGACACGGGGTATGAAGACAGACACTGTGATCAGATAGGGACACGGGGTATGAAGACAGGCACTGTGATCAGATAGGGACAGGGGGTATGAAGACAGACACTATGATCAGATAGGGACAGAGGGTATGAAGACAGACACTATGATCAGATAGGGACACGGGGTATGAAGACAGACACTGTGATCAGATAGGGACACGGGGTATGAAGACAGGCACTGTGATCAGATAGGGACAGGGGGTATGAAGACAGACACTGTGATCAGATAGGGACAGGGGGTATGAAGACAGACACTGTGATCAGATAGGGACAGGGGGTATGAAGATAGACACTGTGATCAGATAGGGACAGGGGGTATGAAGACAGACACTGTGATCAGATAGGGACAGGGGTTATGAAGACAGACACTGTGATCAGATAGGGACAGGGGGTATGAAGACAGACACTATGATCAGATAGGGACACGGGGTATGAAGACAGACACTGTGATCAGATAGGGACAGGGGGTATGAAGACAGACACTATGATCAGATAGGGACAGGGGGTATGAAGACAGACACTGTGATCAGATAGGGACACGGGGTATGAAGACAGACACTGTGATCAGATAGGGACACGGGGTATGAAGACAGGCACTGTGATCAGATAGGGACAGGGGGTATGAAGACAGGCACTGTGATCAGATAGGGACACGGGGTATGAAGATAGACACTGTGATCAGATAGGGACAGGGGGTATGAAGACAGACACTGATCAGATAGGGACACGGGGGTATGAAGACAGACACTGTGATCAGATAGGGACAGGGGGTATGAAGATAGACACTATGATCAGATAGGGACAGGGGGTATGAAGACAGACACTGTGATCAGATAGGGACACGGGGTATGAAGACAGACACTGTGATCAGATAGGGACAGGGGGGTATGGAAATACACAGTGTGCAAAGCTGTCATCAAGGCAAAGGGTGGCTACTTTGAAGAATCTCAAATATAAAATATATTTTGATTTGTTGAACACCTTTTTGGTTACTACATGATTCCATATGTATTATTTCATAGTTTTGATGTCTTCACTATTATTGTACAATGTAGAAAATAGTAAAAATAAAGAAAAACCCTTTAATGAGTAGGTGTGTCCAAACTTTTGACTGGTACTGTATGCCCCCGTAATAATGTCCTATAGGTACTGAGCAATAAATTATTTATGATTGGTTATATTTGGCCTTCAGAAAGTATTCACACCTTGACTTTTTCCACCAAGGTCATCAACAGTCAAAATCATGTTTTTCATGAAATGTTATGATATTTGGATGAAACCATCTCAAGGTTTTTCATACATTGGTCATCATAGCAAAGTATGATGACCAATGTATGAAAAATGACTACATTGATAAAGTTTGATCATAAAGTTAATGGTCCCCTCCCCCATGTAAAACAATTGGGTCCAGGAGGCAGGATTATTAAGGGGATAACTCTTAACCAATGGTAACATGGTATTTATCTTATCTTATCTCATTAAAGTACCGCCTAGTAACCAACATCGGAGAAGGCGTGTTTACAGAGGGGGGCGAGGTTTCTCTAGCTAGATAGCTACTGTACTGGTGCCAACATGTGACTGTAGGGGATCAGCTAATATAATGACAAGTTTACACTATTCCTCTACGGCAAAGATACTTCTCCATGTCTTCCCTTTCATCTGTCTGGTGTTAGCTATACTGGTAGCTAGGTCTCAATCTGTCTGGTGTTAGCTAGTTAATGGCTAGCTAGTTTCATTGTCTGGTGTTAGCTAGTTACTGGCTAGCTAGTCTTCATCTGTCTGGTGTTAGCTAGTTACTGGCTAGCTAGGTCTTCATCTGTCTGGTGTTAGCTAGTTACTGGCTAGCTAGGTCTTCATCTGTCTGGTGTTAGCTAGTTACTGGCTAGCTAGGTCTTCATCTGTCTGGTGTTAGCTAGTTACTGGCTAGCTAGGTCTTCATCTGTCTGGTGTTAGCTAGTTACTGGCTAGCTAGGTCTTCATCTGTCTGGTGTTAGCTAGTTACTGGCTAGCTAGGTCTTCATCTGTCTGGTGTTAGCTAGTTACTGGCTAGCTAGGTCTTCATCTGTCTGGTGTTAGCTAGTTACTGGCTAGCTAGGTCCTCATCTGTCTGGTGTTAGCTAGTTACTGGCTAGCTAGGTCTTCATCTGTCTGGTGTTAGCTAGTTACTGGCTAGCTAGGTCTTTATCTGTCTGGTGTTAGCTAGTTACTGGCTAGCTAGGTCTTCATCTGTCTGGTGTTAGCTAGTTACTGGCTAGCTAGGTCTTCATCTGTCTGGTGTTAGCTAGTTACTGGCTAGCTAGGTCTTATCTGTCTGGTGTTAGCTAGTTACTGGCTAGCTAGGTCTTCATCTGTCTGGTGTTAGCTAGTTACTGGCTAGCTAGGTCTTCATCTGTCTGGTGTTAGCTAGTTACTGGCTAGCTAGGTCTTCATCTGTCTGGTGTTAGCTAGTTACTGGCTAGCTAGGTCTTCATCTGTCTGGTGTTAGCTAGTTACTGGCTAGCTAGGTCTTCATCTGTCTGGTGTTAGCTAGTTACTGGCTAGCTAGGTCTTCATCTGTCTGGTGTTAGCTAGTTACTGGCTAGCTAGGTCCTCATCTGTCTGGTGTTAGCTAGTTACTGGCTAGCTAGGTCTTCATCTGTCTGGTGTTAGCTAGTTACTGGCTAGCTAGGTCTTCATCTGTCTGGTGTTAGCTAGTTACTGGCTAGCTAGGTCTTCATCTGTCTAGTGTTAGCTAGTTACTGGCTAGCTAGGTCTTCATCTGTGTCTGGTGTTAGCTAGTTACTGGCTAGCTAGGTCTTCATCTGTCTGGTGTTAGCTAGTTACTGTCTAGCTAGGTCTTCATCTGTCTGGTGTTAGCTAGTTACTGGCTAGCTAGGTCTTATCTGTCTGGTGTTAGCTAGTTACTGGCTAGCTAGGTCTTCATCTGTCTGGTGTTAGCTAGTTACTGGCTAGCTAGGTCTTCATCTGTCTGGTGTTAGCTAGTTACTGGCTAGCTAGGTCTTCATCTGTCTGGTGTTAGCTAGTTACTGGCTAGCTAGGTCTTCATCTGTCTGGTGTTAGCTAGTTACTGGCTAGCTAGGTCCTCATCTGTCTGGTGTTAGCTAGTTACTGGCTAGCTAGGTCTTCATCTGTCTGGTGTTAGCTAGTTACTGTCTAGCTAGGTCTTCATCTGTCTGGTGTTAGCTAGTTACTGGCTAGCTAGGTCTTTATCTGTCTGGTGTTAGCTAGTTACTGGCTAGCTAGGTCTTCATCTGTCTGGTGTTAGCTAGTTACTGGCTAGCTAGGTCTTCATCTGTCTGGTGTTAGCTAGTTACTGGCTAGCTAGGTCTTCATCTGTCTGGTGTTAGCTAGTTACTGGCTAGCTAGGTCTTCATCTGTCTGGTGTTAGCTAGTTACTGGCTAGCTAGGTCTTCATCTGTCTGGTGTTAGCTAGTTACTGGCTAGCTAGGTCCTCATCTGTCTGGTGTTAGCTAGTTACTGGCTAGCTAGGTCTTCATCTGTCTGGTGTTAGCTAGTTACTGGCTAGCTAGGTCTTCATCTGTCTGGTGTTAGCTAGTTACTGGCTAGCTAGGTCCTCATCTGTCTGGTGTTAGCTAGTTACTGGCTAGCTAGGTCTTCATCTGTCTGGTGTTAGCTAGTTACTGGCTAGCTAGGTCTTCATCTGTCTGGTGTTAGCTAGTTACTGGCTAGCTAGGTCTTCATCTGTCTAGTGTTAGCTAGTTACTGGCTAGCTAGGTCTTCATCTGTGTCTGGTGTTAGCTAGTTACTGGCTAGCTAGGTCTTCATCTGTCTGGTGTTAGCTAGTTACTGGCTAGCTAGGTCTTCATCTGTCTGGTGTTAGCTAGTTACTGGCTAGCTAGGTCTTCATCTGTGTCTGGTGTTAGCTAGTTACTGGCTAGCTAGGTCTTCATCTGTCTGGTGTTAGCTAGTTACTGGCTAGCTAGGTCTTCATCTGTGTCTGGTGTTAGCTAGTTACTGGCTAGCTAGGTCTTCATCTGTCTGGTGTTAGCTAGTTACTGGCTAGCTAGGTCTTCATCTGTCTGGTGTCAGCTAGTTACTGGCTAGCTAGGTCTTCATCTGTCTGGTGTTAGCTAGTTACTGGCTAGCTAGGTCTTCATCTGTCTGGTGTTAGCTAGTTACTGGCTAGCTAGGTCTTCATCTGTCTGGTGTTAGCTAGTTACTGGCTAGCTAGGTCTTCATCTGTGTCTGGTGTTAGCTAGTTACTGGCTAGCTAGGTCTTCATCTGTGTCTGGTGTTAGCTAGTTACTGGCTAGCTAGGTCTTCATCTGTCTGGTGTTAGCTAGTTACTGGCTAGCTAGGTCTTCATCTGTCTGGTGTTAGCTAGTTACTGGCTAGCTAGGTCTTCATCTGTGTCTGGTGTTAGCTAGTTACTGGCTAGCTAGGTCTTCATCTGTCTGGTGTTAGCTAGTTACTGGCTAGCTAGGTCTTCATCTGTCTGGTGTTAGCTAGTTACTGGCTAGCTAGGTCTTCATCTGTGTCTGGTGTTAGCTAGTTACTGGCTAGCTAGGTCTTCATCTGTCTGGTGTTAGCTAGTTACTGGCTAGCTAGGTCTTCATCTGTGTCTGGTGTTAGCTAGTTACTGGCTAGCTAGGTCTTCATCTGTCTGGTGTTAGCTAGTTACTGGCTAGCTAGGTCTTCATCTGTCTGGTGTCAGCTAGTTACTGGCTAGCTAGGTCTTCATCTGTCTGGTGTTAGCTAGTTACTGGCTAGCTAGGTCTTCATCTGTGTCTGGTGTTAGCTAGTTACTGGCTAGCTAGGTCTTCATCTGTCTGGTGTTAGCTAGTTACTGGCTAGCTAGGTCTTCATCTGTCTGGTGTTAGCTAGTTACTGGCTAGCTAGGTCTTCATCTGTGTCTGGTGTTAGCTAGTTACTGGCTAGCTAGGTCTTCATCTGTCTGGTGTTAGCTAGTTACTGGCTAGCTAGGTCTTCATCTGTGTCTGGTGTTAGCTAGTTACTGGCTAGCTAGGTCTTCATCTGTCTGGTGTTAGCTAGTTACTGGCTAGCTAGGTCTTCATCTGTCTGGTGTTAGCTAGTTACTGGCTAGCTAGGTCCTCATCTGTCTGGTGTTAGCTAGTTACTGGCTAGCTAGGTCTTCATCTGTCTGGTGTTAGCTAGTTACTGGCTAGCTAGGTCTTCATCTGTCTGGTGTTAGCTAGTTACTGGCTAGCTAGGTCTTCATCTGTCTGGTGTTAGCTAGTTACTGGCTAGCTAGGTCTTCATCTGTGTCTGGTGTTAGCTAGTTACTGGCTAGCTAGGTCTTCATCTGTCTGGTGTTAGCTAGTTACTGGCTAGCTAGGTCTTCATCTGTCTGGTGTTAGCTAGTTACTGGCTAGCTAGGTCTTCATCTGTGTCTGGTGTTAGCTAGTTACTGGCTAGCTAGGTCTTCATCTGTCTGGTGTTAGCTAGTTACTGGCTAGCTAGGTCTTCATCTGTGTCTGGTGTTAGCTAGTTACTGGCTAGCTAGGTCTTCATCTGTGTCTGGTGTTAGCTAGTTACTGGCTAGCTAGGTCTTCATCTGTCTGGTGTTAGCTAGTTACTGGCTAGCTAGGTCCTCATCTGTCTGGTGTTAGCTAGTTACTGGCTAGCTAGGTCTTCATCTGTCTGGTGTTAGCTAGTTACTGGCTAGCTAGGTCTTCATCTGTGTCTGGTGTTAGCTAGTTACTGGCTAGCTAGGTCTTCATCTGTCTGGTGTTAGCTAGTTACTGGCTAGCTAGGTCTTCATCTGTCTGGTGTTAGCTAGTTACTGGCTAGCTAGGTCTTCATCTGTCTGGTGTTAGCTAGTTACTGGCTAGCTAGGTCTTCATCTGTGTCTGGTGTTAGCTAGTTACTGGCTAGCTAGGTCTTCATCTGTGTCTGGTGTTAGCTAGTTACTGGCTAGCTAGGTCTTCATCTGTCTGGTGTCAGCTAGTTACTGGCTAGCTAGGTCTTCATCTGTCTGGTGTTAGCTAGTTACTGGCTAGCTAGGTCTTCATCTGTGTCTGGTGTTAGCTAGTTACTGGCTAGCTAGGTCTTCATCTGTCTGGTGTTAGCTAGTTACTGGCTAGCTAGGTCTTCATCTGTGTCTGGTGTTAGCTAGTTACTGGCTAGCTAGGTCTTCATCTGTGTCTGGTGTTAGCTAGTTACTGGCTAGCTAGGTCTTCATCTGTCTGGTGTTAGCTAATTACTGGCTAGCTAGGTCCTCATCTGTCTGGTGTTAGCTAGTTACTGGCTAGCTAGGTCTTCATCTGTCTGGTGTTAGCTAGTTACTGGCTAGCTAGGTCTTCATCTGTCTGGTGTTAGCTAGTTACTGGCTAGCTAGGTCTTCATCTGTCTGGTGTTAGCTAGTTACTGGCTAGCTAGGTCTTCATCTGTCTGGTGTTAGCTAGTTACTGGCTAGCTAGGTCTCCATCTGTCTGGTGTTAGCTAGTTACTGGCTAGCTAGGTCTTCATCTGTCTGGTGTTAGCTAGTTACTGGCTAGCTAGGTCTTCATCTGTGTCTGGTGTTAGCTAGTTACTGGCTAGCTAGGTCTTCATCTGTCTGGTGTTAGCAAGTTACTGGCTAGCTAGGTCTTCATCTGTGTCAACACATCCGTCAGTGCTGCTGTGAACCGCATCACAAGAGGCCAAACGGGGGAAGTATAGAAAAAATCATTGATGCAATTTCAGTTTTTGTTTGAGTTGCTTCGTGTATCACCATATTTGCTTGAGATGATTTTACTGCGTCCAAGTTTCTTGACATTGATGTTTCAAAGAGCTGTCAGTCAACGCAAGCTCATGAATATAAGATCCCTGCCCACTAAACCTGTCTTTTCAAACTTCCTGGTAGATAGTCACCAGATTATTATTTTTTTTATCTAAAATGATGAGCAATTCTATCCCAAAATTGTTTTATGGTAGATATTTTAGTCACTCAAAAGGCTATTTTACATGGGAATCAGAATGACTGTTTGGGACCTTTAAAATTGATTACATTTATATATTTGTGTCACTGGCCTACACACAACACCCCATAACGTCAAAGTGGAATTATGTTTTTAGAAATGTTGACAAATTAATAACAAATTAAAAGCTGAAATGTCTTGAGTCAATAAGTATTCAACCCCTTTGTTATGGCAAGCCTAAATAAGTTCAGGAGTAAAAATGTGCTTAACAAGTCACATAATAAGTTGCATGGACTCACTCTGTGTGCAATAATACTGTTTAACATGATTTTTGAATGACTGCCTCATCTCTGTACCCCACACAAACAATTATCTGTAAGGTCCCTCAGTCAAGCAGTGAATTTCAAACACAGATTGAACCACAATGACCAGGGAGGTTTTCCAATGCCTCGCAAAGAAGGGCACCTTTTGGTAGATGGGTAAAAAAAGCAGACATTCAATATCCCTTTGAGCACGGTGAAGTTATTAATTACACTTTGGATGGTGTATCAATACACCTTCCTGACTGCCAGAGAGGAAGGAAAACGCTCAGGTATTTCTCCATGAGGCCAACAGTGACTTTAAAACAGTTACGAAGTTTAATGGCTGTGATAGGAGAAAACTGAGGATGGATCAACAACATTGTAGTTACCCCACAACACTAACCTAATTGACAAAGTGACAGAATACAAATATTGCAAAACATGCATCCTGTTTGCAACAAGGCAGTAAAGTAATACTGCAACAAATGTGGCAAAGCAATTCACTTTTTGTCCTGAATACAAAGTGTTATGTTTGAGGCAAATCCAATACAACACATTACTGAGTACCACTCTCCATATTTTCAAGCATAGTGGTGGCTGCATCATGTTATGGGTATGATTGTAATCGTTAAGGACTGGGGAGTTTTTCAGGATAAAAAATTAACTGAATGGAGCTAAGCACAGGCAAAATCCTAGAGGAAAACCTGGTTCAGTCTGTTTTCCACCAGACACTGGGAGACTAGAGGAAAACCTGGTTCAGTCTGCTGTCCACCAGACACTGGGAGATGAATTCACCTTTCAGCAGGAAAATAACCTAAAACACAAGGCCAAATCTACACTGGAGTTGCTTACCAAGAAAGTGAATGTTCCTGAGTGGCTGAGTTACATTTTGGACTTAAATCTGCTTGAAAATCTATAGCAAGACCTGAAAATGGTTGTCTAGCAATGGTCAACAAGCTTGAAGAATTATAACGGGCAAATGTTGCACAATCCAGGTGTGGACAGTTCTTAGAGACTTACCCAGAAAGACTCACAGCTGTACTTGCTGCCAAAGGTAACATGTCTCCGGGGGTTGAATACTTATCTAAATCAAGATATTATAGTGTTTTATTTCTCATAAATGTTTTACAAATGTCCACTTTGACAGAGTATTTTGTGTAGATTGTTTACAAAAAATGAAAATGTAATCCATTTTAATCCCACTTTGTAACACAACAAAATCTGGAAAAAGTCAAGGGGTGTGAACACTTTCTGTGCTTGCCCTGAAATGAGGGGTGGATATTGTAGCCTACAACATAGTTATTCTGACAAGCTTGAGATTGCCATGCATTCCACTCCTCCCATGCTGGCTCCTCCCATGCTGGCTCCTCCCATGCTGACTCCTCCCATGCTGACTCCTCCCATGCTGACTCCTCCCATGCTGACTCCTCCCATGCTGACTCCTCCCATGCTGACTCCTCCCATGCTGACTCCTCCCACTCACCTAGGTTATTGCGGAACCTTAGCTGGTTGCGGATACTGTACAGCTGCACGTGTTTCTCATATTCACGCTGCGAGTTCCCAACACTCTGTAAATGAAAACAGGACATTGATATGCATTAATATACAAAAGTAAGACAATTAACAAATCGATAAAATAAAATAGTAACACAATAAAATAACAATAACAAGGCTATATACAGGCTATATACAAGGAGCACCGGGACCGAGTCAGTGTACAGTGTACTGGGGTAAAAAGTGAAAGAATGGCGCCGGAGAAGATGGCTGCCGTTTTACGGGCTCCTAACCAATTGTGCGATTGTGTGTGTTTTTTCACGTTATTTGTAACTTATTTTGTACATAATGTTTCTGCCACCGTCTCTTATGACCGAAAATAGCTTCTGGATATCAGGACAGCGATTGCTCACCTCGTACTGGACAAATAATGTTTATTTAATGAGTCGGACGCAAAGGATTTTCTTCAGACACCCGACAAGGCCCAAATCCCCGTCATTCGCAGGAGAAAGAGACTGAGATATCGGGGACGTAGGTCGGGGTGCCTTGTAAGGATCCGACGGCGAGCGAGTAAACTGCCTCTTCCATCAATCCTATTAGCCAATCTTCAATCATTGGATAATAAAACAGACGATCACGGTTATCCTACCAGCAAGACATTAAAAACTGTAATATCTTATGTTTCACTGAGTCGTGGTTGAACGACGACATGGATAACATACAGCTGGCGGGATATACGCTGCATCGACAAAATAGAACAGCTGCCTCCGGTAAAAAAAACACTAGACCACCTTTACTCCACACAGAGACGCGCACAAAGCTCTCCCTCGCCCTCCATTTGGCAAATCTGACCATAACTCTATCCTCCTGATTCCTGCTTACAAGCAAAAACGAAAGCAGGAAGCACCAGTGACTCGGTCAATAAAGAAGAGGTCAGACGACGCAGATGCTAAGCTACAGGACTGTTTTGCTAGCACAGACTGGAATATGTTCCGGGATTCTTCCGATGGCATTTACATTTTAGTCATTTAGCAGACGCTCTTATCCAGAGCGACTTACAGTTAGTGAGTGCATACATTTTCATACTGCCCCTCCGTGGGAAACGAACCCACAACCCTGGCGTTGCAAGCGCCATGCTCTACCAACTGAGCTACAGAGTACACCACATCAGTCACCGGCTTCATCAATAAGTGCATCGACGACATCGTCCCCACAGTGACCGTACAGACCCCATCCAGAAGCCATGGATTACAGGCAACAAGGATAGAGCTGCCGCTTTCAAGGCGCGGGATTCTAACCCGGACGCTTATAAGAAGTCCCGCTATGCCCTCAGACGAACCATCAAACAGGCAAAGCGTCAATACAGGACTAAGATCGAATCCTACTACACCGGTTCCGATGCTCGTCGGATGTGGCAGGGCTTGAAAACTATTATAGACTACAAAGGGAAGCACAGCCGCGAGCTGCCCAGTAACGCAAGCCTACCAGATGAGCTAAACCACTTCTATGCTCGCTTCGAGGCAAGCAACACTGAAGCATGCATGAGAGCACCAGCTGTTCCGAACAACAGTGCGATAACGCTCTCCGTAGCCGATGTGAGTAAGACTTTTAAGCAGGTCAACATTCACAAGGCCGCAGGGCCAGACGGATTACCAGGCCGTGTACTCCGAGCATGTGCTGACCAACTGGCAAGTGTCTTCACTGACATTTTCAACCTGTCCCTGACTGAGTCTGTAATACCAACATGTTTCAAGCATACCACCATAGTAACTGTGCCCAAGAACACTAAGATAACCTGCCTAAATGACTACCGACCCATAGCACTCACGTCTGTAGCCATGAAGTGCTTTGAAAGGCTGGTCATGGCTCACATCAACACCATTATCCCAGAAACCCTAGACACACTCCAATTTGCATACCGCCCCAACAGATCCACAGATGATGCAATCTCTATTGCACTCCACACTGCCCTTTCCCACCTGGATAAAAGGAACACCTATGTGAGAATGCTATTCATTGACTACAACTCAGCATTCAACATCATAGTGCCCTCAAAGCTCATCACTAAGCTAAGGACCCTGGGACTAAACACCTCCCTCTGCAACTGGATCCTGGACTTCCTGACGGGCCACCCCCAGGTGGTAAGGGTAGGTAACAACAAATCTGCCACACTGATCCTCAACACGGGGGCCCCTCAGGGGTGCGTGCTCAGTCCCCTCCTGTACTCCCTGTTAACCCATGACTGCATGGCCAGGCACGACTCCAACACCATCATTAAGTTCGCCGACGACACAACAGTGGTAGGCCTGATCACCGACAATGATGAGACAGCCTATAGGGAGGAGGTCAGAGACCTGGCCGTGTGGTGCCAGGATAACAACCTCTCCCTCAACGTGATCAAGACAAAGGAGATGATTGTGGACTAGAGGAAAAGGAGGACCGAGCATGCCCCCATTCTCATCGACGGGGCTGTAGTGGAGCAGGTTGAGAGCTTCAAGTTCCTTGGTGTCCACATCACCAACAAACTATCATGGTCCAAACACACCAAGACAGTCGTGAAGAGGGCACAACAAAGCCTATTCCCCCTCAGGAGACTGAAAAGATTTGGCATGGGTCCTCAGATCCTTAAAAAGTTATACAGCTGCACCATCGAGAGCATCCTGACCGGTTGCATCACTGCCTGGTATGGCAACTGCTTGGCCTCTGACCGCAAGGCACTACAGAGGGTAGTGCGTACGGCCCAGTACATCACTGGGGCCAAGCTTCCTGCCATCCAGAACCTCTATACCAGGCGGTGTCAGAGGAAGTCCCTAAAAATTGTCAATGACTCCAGCCACCCTAGTCATAGACTGTTCTCTCTGCTACCACACGGCAAGCGGTACCGGAGTACCAAGTCTAGGTCCAAAAGGCTTCTTTACAGCTTCTAACCCCAAGCCATAAGACTCCTGAACATCTAATCAAATGGCTACCCGGACAATTTGCATTGTCCCCCCCCCCCTCTTTTACGCTGGTGCTACTCTCTGTTTTTTATATATGCATAGTTACTTTAACTCCACCTACATGTACATACAGTGGGGAGAACAAGTATTTGATACACTGCCGATTTTGCAGGTTTTCCTACTTACAAAGCATGTAGAGGTCTGTAATTTTTATCATAGGTACACTTCAACTGTGAGAGACGGAATCTAAAACAAAAATCCAGAAAATCACATTGTATGATTTTTAAGTAATTAATTTGCATTTTATCGCATGACATAAGTATTTGATACATCAGAAAAGCAGAACTTAATATTTGGTACAGAAACCTTTGTTTGCAATTACAGAGATCATACATTTCCTGTAGGTCTTGACCAGGTTTGCACACACTGCAGCAGGGATTTTGGCCCACTCCTCCATACAGACCTTCTCCAGATCCTTCAGGTTTCAGGGCTGTCGCTGGGAAAAACGGACTTTCAGCTCCCTCCAAAGATTTTCTATTGGGTTCAGGTCTGGAGACTGGATAGGCCACTCCAGGACCTTGAGATGCTTCTTACGGAGCCACTCCTTAGTTGCCCTGGCTGTGTGTTTCGGGTCGTTGTCATGCTGGAAGACCCAGCCACGACCCATCTTCAATTTTCTTACTGAGGGAAGGAGGTTGTTGGCCAAGATCTCGCGATACATGGCCCCATCCATCCTCCCCTCAATACGGTGCAGTCGTCCTGTCCCCTTTGCAGAAAAGCATCCCCAAAGAATGATGTTTCAACCTCCATGCTTCACGGTTGGGATGGTGTTCTTGGGGTTGTACTCATCCTTCTTCTTCCTTCAAACACGGCGAGTGGAGTTTAGACCAAAAAGCTCTATTTTTGTCTCATCAGACCACATGACCTTCTCCCATTCCTCCTCTGGATCATCCAGATGGTCATTGGCAAACTTCAGACGGGCCTGGACATGCGCTGGCTTGAGCAGGGGAACCTTGCGTGCGCTGCAGGATTTTAATCCATGACGGCGTAGTGTGTTACTAATGGTTTTCTTTGAGACTGTGGTCCCAGCTCTCTTCAGGTCATTGGCCAGGTCCTGCCGTGTAGTTCTGGGCTGATCCCTCACCTTCCTCATGATCATTGATGCCCCACGAGGTGAGATCTTGCATGGAGCCCCAGACCGAGGGTGATTGACCGTCATCTTGAACTTCTTCCATTTTTTTATAATTGCACCAACAGTTGTTGCCTTCTCACCAAGCTGCTTGCCTATTGTCCTGTAGCCCAACCCAGCTTTGTGCAGGTCTACAATTTTATCCCTGATGTCCTTACACAGCTCTCTGGTCTTGGCCATTGTGGAGAGGTTGGAGTCTGTTTGATTGAGTGTGTGGACAGGTGTCTTTTATACAGGTAACGAGTTCAAAGAGGTGCAGTTAATACAGGTAATGAGTGGAGAACAGGAGGGCTTCTTAAAGAAAAACTAACAGGTCTGTGAGAGCTGGAATTCTTACTGGTTGGTAGGTGATCAAATACTTATGTCATGCAATAAAATGCAAATTAATTATTTAAAAATCATACAATGTGATTTTCTGGATTTTTGTTTTAGATTCCGTCTCTCACAGTTTAAGTGTACCTATGATAAAAATGACAGACCTCTACATGCTTTGTAAGTAGGAAAAACTGTTATTTTACTGCTGCTCTTTAATTATTTGTTATATATTTATTTTTTAGTTATCTATTTTTTACTTCACACATATTTTACTTAAAACTGCATTGTTGGTTAAGGGCTTGTAAGTAAGCATTTCACTGTAATGTCTACACCTGTTGTATTCGGCGCATGTGACAAATAATATTTGATTTGAGGTAGTTGGGGTGATTGATTGAGGTAATTTGGTAGGTTTGGTTAGGTGATTGATTGATGTACATGTAGGTAGGGGGTGAAAAGCATAAAGTCTGGGTAGCCGTTTAAATTAGCTGTTCAGAAGTCTTATAGCTTTGGGGTAGAAGCTGTTCAGGAGCCTTTTGGTCCCAGCGCTCCGGTACCGCTTGCCGTGCGGTAGTAGAGAGAACATACGGTACTACCCTCTGTACAGTAACATGTATATACAGTAACTCAGTAAGTATTAAAGCCTACAGAAAGGTCATGTAGAGGGGATTGAATACCGCATTATAGAGCTAGCATAACAAACACAATGCATTCCATCTCATTCATACCGCTGCTCTAAAACAAAACATGCTGTATGTAGCTCAACCCTTATGATGAGGTGGGATTTATTAACGATATGTAGTAGTTATGAATAGATCATTCCTGTATTATAACTAACATTATTTTACTGATCAAATACATTTCGAGTAACCCTAGTTGCTTGACATGGTTGATAACACAATGCAGCCGATTTGCATTCGACAGCTAGCTAATAGGTGTTTAGCTATAATCACGACAGTACACCACCTATCAAAATCATAGCCAGCCAGCTACTTAGGTAACGGAGCGGTGCTTTCAGGTGAATGACAATCACTGTAGGTACAGCTGCTTATGAACGATATGGAAGGGAATAGCTTTTTAGCTGGCTAGTTAGCTAGATCAGTGTTTCCCAAAACGTTTACACAGCTGATTTAAATAATCAAAGTTTGATGATGAGTTGGTTATTTGAATCAGCTGTGTAGTGCTAGGGCAAAAAACCCAAACGTAGGGAAACCCCTGAGCTAGATGACATACCTGTTTGACATTTGCTGGTAGCTTGTTCCACGGATAATTCTGCCTGATGTGAAATTCGACGTCCGTGTTCATTGCTAGTTTGAATCGGGATCCACGAAACGGGTTTTTGGCAAGTCCAAGATGACTATATCCCCCGAAACATAAAAAATCGATACTGTAACTTGATAATCCGAATGTTTCCTATCTGAAAATAGCAAATATTTCCTTTTCAATAAATGTCCACTTCCTGGTTGTATTTTCGAGCGACCGTTCGTCACTTCCGTCCGAGGCGTCACCGACTGATGAATGGCGGTTGATATGAACACTGACAGATCGATTATTGCATCAAACTCAATGTCCATTTTCTTGAAGTAAATCACACGGTTGGCTTCCAACAATGTGTACTCGACCTTGTAAAATAAATGTCCATTATTATTTCTTACATAGAGCATAATGGTCACGGTTGGCTCCATTCCAACAATGTGTACTCGACCTTGTAAAATAAATGTCCATTATTATTTCTTACATAGAGCATAATGGTCACGGTTGGCTCCATTCCAACAATGTGTACTCGACCTTGTAAAATAAATGTCCATTATTATTTCTTACATAGAGCATAATGGTCACGGTTGGCTCCATTCCAACAATGTGTACTCGACCTTGTAAAATAAATGTCCATAATTATTTCTTACATAGAGCATAATGGTCTTAAACTGTCTGGCTAGTGGTCATAAATTGTCTGGCTAGTGGTCATAAACTGTCAAACTATCACACCTGTCCACATGAAACTGGTCTAACAAGATCTAATTGAGAAATGTTTTAATTTTATAAAATGTATTAGATATAAATAATAACTTCCAGTTGGTCTAATATGACAGTGCTCTTTGCATTTCACAACTTATATATTCCAACGTTCATACTGTTAAAAATTCATGAGATAAATCAACTGTCTGAAATGCCTGGACTGTGAATCAACCTTGCCACAGGCTTTCAGTGTGAGAAGACACTGTTCTTGGAGAGGTCAAAGATGAGTATCTGCACCTCAGCTCACTTAGGTTCTGTCCCAAATGGCACCTTATTCCCTGTAGTGCTTTGGATCAGAACCCTTTGGGCCATTTGTGACGCAGGCCTCAAGTCACTTGGTAACCAACCAGTATAAACAGTGTTGGGGTACAGCTCAGAGTCACATAATGCTGTGTGCTCGGCTCCTCGCTCTGACGACAACTAGCTGCCTAGTAGCTGACTGTCACGCCCTGGCTCTGGGGACTCTAGTATGTTGAGCCAGGGTGTGAGTTTTCATTTGTGTACATTCTAGTTTAGTATTTCTATGTTGGCCAGTGTGGTTCTCAATCAGAGGCAACGTGTATCAGCTGTTGCTTGTTGTCTCTGATTGGGAACCATACTTAAGCAGCCAGTTTTCCCACAGTGTTTGTGGGATCTTGTTCCAGTGTGGTTTGTGTTAGACCGAGGACGTCACGTTATCATTATTTAATAAATATGTTCACCTTTCACGCTGCGCCTTGGTGACACTGACATCTCATGTTGTTATTGCTGTAAAGCAAACATGACAGTGACTCAGGAGTTTTAGGGGGGGGTGGGGGAGGGGAATAGGCATAACAAGTTCTATCCTGCTGTCCTAGAGATAAAGGTATCCGACAAGCATCAGAGCCAGCGTAGTAGGATTCGATCTTAGTCCTGTATTGATGCTTTGCCTGTCTGAGGTTGTAGCGGGATTTCTTATAAGCTTCCGGATTTGTGTCCTTCTCCTTGAACAGCTAAAATGTTTAGCTCAGTGCAGATGTTGCCTGTAATCCATGGCTTCTGGTTGGGATGTGTATGTAAGGTCTGTGGGGACGATGTGGTCGATGCACTTATTGATGAAGCCAGTGACTGATGTGGTGTACTCCTTAATGTTATCAGATGAATCCCGGAACATGTTCCAGTCTGTGCTAGCGAAACAGTCCTGTAATTTAGCATCCGGTTCTTCGGACCACTTCCGTATTGAGCGCGTCACTGATCCTTCCTGTTTGAGTTTTTGCTTGTAAGCAGGAATCAGGAGGATATAGTTATGGTCAGATTTGCCAAATGAACGGAGCTCGTCCAGTTTGTTCTACAGTGATTGTATGTTCGCCAATAGAACGGAGGATGGCGGCCTCTCTTATGTTCGTCTTTTCGTGCAGCTTTTATGTGGGAGAACATTTTCACTCTTGTTTTGAGAATTAATCGGTATTGAAGCATTTCCTTTCTCTTTCACAATAGATAAAAGAACCAGATATATTGAGTAATGAATTGGATGAAGGAATAATTATAATAATATGCCATTTAGCAGACGCTTTTATCCAAAGCGACTTACAGTCATGTGTGCATACATTTTTACGTATGGGTGGTCCCGGGGATCGAACCCACTACCCTGGCGTTACAAGCGTCATGCTCTACCAATTGAGCTACAGAGGACCACATGGAGTGCTATCTGAGGAGGTGGTTCAGTAAACAATGCTCTTATGATGGGTAACCTTCCCTGACACCAGATGACTGCTGTTGCCTCCTAGAGCTAATGCCTTTGGCTAGGTAGGAGGCGAAAGCAGTCTGATGGTGTGCAGGAAACTGGATGGCCTGGGTTTGAAACCCTGTTGGACACAGATTTGTATTTGTATTTATTATGGATCTCCATTAGTTCCTGCCAAGGCAGCAGCTACTCTTCCTGGGGTTTATTATGGATCCCCATTAGTTCCTGCCAAGGCAGCAGCTACTCTTCCTGGGGTTTATTATGGATCCCCATTAGTTCCTGCCAAGGCAGCAGCTACTCTTCCTGGGGTTTATTATGGATCCCCATTAGTTCCTGCCAAGGCAGCAGCTACTCTTCACCCCACCAGAACACCCCTCCTCTCCTTCACCCCAAGGCAACCCAAGGTAACAACAAAAATAGTGACTAAAATGGTAACAGTATTTCATTCCTCTTACCACTACACTATATCTGACTGGGTTAATAACTCCTCTACCACTACACTATATCTGACTGGTTAATAACTCCTCTTACCACTACACTATATCTGACTGGGTTAATAACTCCTCTTACCTACACTATATCTGACTGTTAATAACTCCTTTACCACTACACTATATCTGATGGTTAATAACTCTCTTACCACTACTATATCTGACTGGTTAATAACTTCCTTTCACTAAAATCTGACTGGTTAATACTTACCACTACACTATATCTGACTGGGTTAATAACTCTCTTACCATACACTATATCGACTGGTTATAACTCCTCTTACCACTACACTATATCTGACTGGTTAATAACTCCTCTTACCACTACACTATATCTGACTGGGTTAATAACTCCTCTACACCTATACTGACTGGTATACTCCTCTACCACTACACTATATCTGACTGGTTATAACTCCTCTTACATACACTATATCTGACTGGTTAATAACTCCTCTACACTACATAACTGACTGGTTAATAACCCCTTAACTACTCTTATTCCTGGGTTAATAACTCCTCTACCACTACACTATATCTGACTGGGTTAATAACTCCTCTTACCACTACAATATATCTGACTGGTTAATAACTCTTTACCACTACACTATATCTGACTGGTTAATAACTCCTCTCCTACCACTACATATATCTGACTGTTAAACCCCTTCCCACTACCTATATTGACTGGTTAATAACTCTCTTACCACTATAATCTGACTGGTATAACTACACTAATCTGGAGGGTTAATACCTCCCTCTTAAATCCTTACCACTACACTAACTATCTGACTGGGTTAATAACTCCTCTTACCACTACACTATATCTGACTGGTTAATAACTCCTCTACCACTACACATATCTGACTGGGTTACTAACTCCTCTTACCACTACACTATATCTGACTGGTTAATAACTCCTCTTACTAACTCACTACCACCTATATCTGACTGGGTTAATAACTCCTCTTACCACTACACTATATCTGACTGGGTTAATAACTCCTCTACCACTACACTATATCTGACTGGTTAATAACTCCTCTACCACTACACTATATCTGACTGGTTAATAACTCCTCTACCACTACACTATATACTGACTGGGTTAATAACTCCTCTCACCACTACACATATCTGACTGGGTTAATACTCCTCTACCACTAACTATATCTGACTGGTTAATACTCCTCTTACCACTACACTATATCTGACTGGTTAATAACCCCTTACCACTACACTATATCTGACTGGTTAATAACCTTCCTCTACCACTACACTAGATCTGCTGGTTAATAACCCCGCTTACCACTACACTGATATCTGACTGGTTAATAACTCCTCTACCACTACACTATATCTGACTGGTTAATAACTCCTCTTACCACTACACTATATCTGACTGGTTAATACTCCTCTTACCACTACACTATATCTGACTGGGTTAATAACTCCTCTTACCACTACACTATATCTGACTGGGTTAATAACTCCTCTACCACTACATATATCTGACTGGGTTAATAACTCCTCTTACCAC